GAGTCGGTGCTGCCCCGGCCGCGGGGAGCCTGCCGCTGTCTCGATCCGGACCGGCCGCAGCCGGGCTGCCCGCCCGAGGCAGGCTGTGCCGGCAAGGCGGCTGCCGGTGAGCTCCCGCCGGTGCTAGGGCGCGGGGTCTTCGTTCTTTCCGTTAAGATGGGCAGAGCGGTACAGCGACCAGCTTGGATGCTCAAAGCCGCGAGCGAGGCTCAGACCTTTGAAAAAACAATTCAGGGGCAAAGGGGTGTTGGTTTATAGTTTAGTTTAGAATTTATTCACTTAAATAGAGAAATCCGCGGAGATTTTTAAATGCTTGGTGTTGAGTTGTTGCAATACCCACAACAAAGCCATAGAAGACCGCGGTTCTAGACTCCAAGGTTTGGTATTGTCATTCGCCTTCTTTATCTCTCCTCTGTTGCTAGGCAGTGAGCAGGTCCCTTCCTGGTGGTACTTCCTTCTGTTCATTTAAAAGCACGTGTAGTGATCTCCAGAGGTAAGTCATGGGATTTCCTGGGTCCAGACCCATGAGCTACAAGAAAAATCTGAGCTTTGCTAGCTGCCAGTGCAAAGCTGATATGAGCTGTCCATGGCTGTACTGGCAGGCCGTGGTATATGCAGGAGTTCTTACTGTCTGGAGTGACCAGGGAGGCCCTAACTTTGGGCACAAGCCCTTGTTGCTCACAGTTCTGGCCAGCCGCAGCCCAAAAGCAGTTCAATGCAGATGGCCTTAAGCTGAGACAGAAGAGATCCAAATTAGATATTGGAAAAATTAACTTTTCTAGTGTCAGAGTTGCCAGGCACTGGAACAGGTTGCCCAGGGAAGTGGTGGAGTCACCACCCCTGGTGGTGTTCAAGAAGTGTGTGGATCTGTTTCTGTCTGATGTGTCTTAGGGGTTACAGTGGTAGTGCTGGATGGATGGTTGGACTGGGTGATCTTGAAGGTCTCTTCCAGCCTTGGTGATCCTATGATTCTTTGTGCAAAAGCTAAGCAACCCCAAAGTATGAGACTTCTACAGGCTGAACAAGGGAGAGCCACCAAAAAGTAGTTTCAGGTAGAAAAACCCATGTCTTTTCTGACAGAAAAGGAAGGACCACTGTGTGCTGATGCAATTGGGTGGAAAAGCAACCCAGCTATTATAAAATGTCACAAGTCAGCAATAATGTGCTGCGTTTCCTAAAACAGTGTCAAATTCTGCACCTACAGTGTGCAGGATTTCCACAGGTGAGCTGCAGTTTAGAAACTTGATGGCAGATAACTTGGCATCCTGCTCTCTCTCATTGTTTTGTACCCACAAAGACTGCAGTTGAAACCTCACAAGGTTCAGAAAGCTGACATTTTGGCAAGCATATGTGAATCTATAGTGTCACAGGACTCTGACAAAAGATAGTCAGGAAAAGAAAAAACCCAACAACCACAGAAAGGGAGAAAAATACATAATTATTACCTCTGCAGGCTACAGCTGGCCTTACTAATTTATGGAGTTTTCTCAAATTAAGATATTAAATCAAAAGGTGGTCGAGCCCTCCACAGATAACTTAGGAGATGATGCAATAGCTCTTTTTCACATTAAACTACGGTGACACCACTGGCTATGAACTCTATGAACTGAATCTTGTAAACAGGGAGAATTAGTGTATCAAAATGGTTTAATTAATTTCTGTGTGTTGTAACCTGTATAGCAGCAATAATTTAGTTTTAGAGGATTGCACTGAACAGGTCAATATGTGAATAAAGCAGTAAACCTGAAAATAAATGCCAGAGCACATTAAATTCTATCATGAAAGTAGAATTGTAGATCATGGGGGGAAAACATGACATCAGTATATGAAGGTGAAAAATATTCAGATATTTTCATACCAGCTGATAAAAGTACCTTCTGTTTTCAGGTGATTCAGTCATAGTACTTGCTATTTGTTTTTGACATGGTAGCTTTCCAGAGCTGCAGCTTTTCACTGCAGTGCAGAGATGCTCTTCCAGCTGGCTTTCTGCCAAGAGAAATGAAACAGGAGACATGCAAACTGGAGTGAAAGCTTAAAAAGAATATCCAAACACAGAAACTAGAAGCTCTGGGGAAGACTTTACAATTAAAACACTAATTTTGGTGATGTGATCAATTTCCATTCTTCTACCATACCATTAGTTCATAGAATGATGGTATTTCTGTTGCTTTCTAATGTGAATCAGAGATGTCAGTGGTCAAGATAGAATTGCAGCAGAAAAGGCTTGAGTCCTAAGTGTGTATGCACTGCATAAGACAGTGAAAGGAGGGATTTCTGGCTTACTGAGTTCCTCTTTTTCCCTGTAAATTCACACTCCAGAACCATATAATAAACCCGTACAGCACTTATGGTGCAAGCTTCTGCTTTCATGCACTGCAGCAGTAGCTGGCACCCCTACGAAAATCAAAAGCTGACTGGGCTGAATGTAGGTATTAGAGGGCCTGCAAACACCACAGGAGACTGGCAAAAGCAGACTAAAGGATACTGAAGGACAACAAATCACAGGTGAAAACATTTATAAAAAGAGATTTAGAAAGCAGGATCAAAATAGTGTAGAAAAGAATTTCATAATATCATGAGAAGAACAATCTAAACTATTTCAATTGCTCAGTCCTTTAGCCTGGAATGATTACTTCCTGTCCTTCCCTGAGAAATTTCCAAGTGAATAAAAATACTTCAGGGAATCAGAGACCTGTGACGGTACCCAAATGAGGATAATGCCTTTAACAGTGGAGAAATATGGTATCATTTTGGCTGTGACATTTCTAAGAAGCCTAGGACAGAGAAAAATAGATGACTGCCTAAAGGGACTTTAGACTTCAGGCCTTGATCTCTCCTGCGGTGAACACAGCCATCCCTATGTGGAGCAGAAGAACCCAGTATTGATAAGGCTTTTATGTACAGATGGACTCTTATGGATGTTTATACTGACACTTCCAGAATGTGCTGTCAGATAGAGAAACAGAGGCCTAAGCCTTCAGTTTGACCAAACCACATTTTTGCTTCTATTTAATCTCATGGGTAATTTATCAGAGTAGTACTCCTATTCCTCCCATTTTTGTCTTACAGAAAATATGGTAAAATATACTAAGTCTTGTGCAATTTGGAACAAAGTTCTGATCAAGGCCAGGATATAAGGGCTGATGAAATGATCAGGTATATTCATTGTGTCAGTGACGCAGACCTTTGGAATTAAAAGATACATTTATTAGACTTTGAAGGGAACTACGTACTCCTTCATACTTTTATGGCAGTCCTTCTTTGAAGTCAAGGAGATTTTTAATCAATTAAATATTAAATTAAAACTGGCCAGAATCCATTCCTCTTTGTTTTGTCTTTCCAAATAACTAATATCAACCAAAATAATGTAACTGAAATGGTCAGGCAAAGTACAAGTCTGAAAAATCGAACATTACTGAGATTTTTTTTGCCGACATGATCGAACATCTGACTTTTCTTATTGTGGCATTCATACGGTGAACACTTTCGTGTGGCCAGTCTTCGACACATTAAGGACGTAACACGCCTTGCGTTACCGTAAGAGCCGCTGCCTGAGCGAGCAGGAGCGCGCCGAGGGCGATGCGGGAGCGGCGCGGGCCGGTCCCACCGGCTGGGCCTGCCTGGAATTATCCGTGCAGCCTCAGTCTTGCTCGTCGGCCCAGGGCAGCTAAAGGAGCGGGTCGGGCCGCCGCCGTTGTCTTCATGGCCCGGGTTCGCTTTTTCGGCGGAGTGATGCCTGGAGAGCGGGGCAGCCCCGCGACGGGCCCGGGAGCGATGGGGCTCCGCAGGCCCCGACTGGGCAGTCCCGGCTGCGGCCGCTGCGCCAGGGGCGCCCCGACGGAGCGGGACGGGACGGAGCGGGACGGGACGGGACGCTCTCAGGAGCTCCGCGCCGGACTGCGGAGGGCGGCAGTCGCTTCAGCTGCCCCCGGGGACTTGGGTGTTGTACCGGCGCTCATGGGGATTTGCCCGTCGGTAGAGGCACGCCGGGCCTCTGCAGTCACGGCCCCCGAAAGCGGTGAATGCCAGGCACTATCTGTTCCCAAAGTCATGGCTCAGAGAATAGTGCATACGGAAACTGGACGGGTAGTTTTTGGATGCGTCTGCATCACAGTAATTGTAATACACAGCACAAAACCTAAACCTAGTTTTCCAAAGACAAATTACATCCTTACTCTTTTTATAAGCTTGGCTATCTTTTTGGGTATCTTCGTTTGTTGTAACTAATTTCCATTTGAAATCAGGATCTGATATTTGGTCCTTTTTCTAGGAATACTGTCCAGTTTTGAACATGGGGCTTGGGGCTGCACTGAGACGTGGAGAACCAGATTCAGAGTGCAAGAAATGAGAATGAGGAATAGCAGTCCTGCTTCATGGTTCCCGTAGTTAGTGGTCTGCATTGGAAAGGAGCGTTTGGATGAAAATAAACTATAGCATCAGCTCGCTATTGCAAATTCTGTAGGATACAAGAAATTTGGAAAAACCCTCCAAATACGAAAAATTCAGACAGTCATCATACCTTCATTCCTTGGAAGTCTGGTGTTGGACATGTTTTGTTTGAAGCAAAAGGAAGCAAAGATTCATTATGCTCTTTTATTCTTTCCTAGACAGAGGAAGGCATATACAATTGGACTCAGAAAAAAGGCAATCTGTCAGCTGAGGAGAAACACTTAAATGAAAACATGTATATTATGAAGAAAGCAGGATGTTTATATTCACAGCATAATAAAGCTGGAAAAAGTGAAATTACAAATGTAACACAAAAAATGGGCAGTCAGCTTTAAAACACACACAGATTGGGCATTTACAAATTTGACCACCTGGACTGAGCTTTCAATTTTGTCCTATTCTGGTTCACGTAAAAGTACTGAATTGCAAAAAAACAAGACTGGAAGATTCTGGAGATAATCTAGTCCAACTTCCCATTTCCGACCAAGATCAACTATACTCATTTGTTACTACTTAAAAAACCCAACTTATATGTTCTAGATGCAGGCCTTAGCTTAGGCCATGCCAGTGTAGAGTACAAGAATTACTTCGTGCATCTAAGGTATGCATACTATACACAAGTATAATGCTTACTGTTTGCTCTGTTTTCTGTGCAGCAGAATGACATTGGCTCAGTTTGTGAAGTACTATGGCCCCCATTGCTTTATCCTGCAGAAATGCCATACAGCTCAGAAGCCTCCCCTGAATTTGTGCATTCAGATATTTAATTTTATGTAATATTGTTCTTACCTCCATTGTACTTTGTCCGTTTTTCAGACTATCTAAAAAAAAAACCAACTTCTACTACTTCTAGTCCCTCTCAATTTCAGATTGCTTGTGGATTAATAAGTGTACTTATTTTGTGACCAAAGTGATTTAAGAAAACAGTGGACTAGGAACAGCACACTGATGTTTGAACCTTCACTCAAATGTACTTGTTTTGAACTGAGGACTATTGCTTTCTGAGGATGAATACCAAACAAGGTATTTACTTACCTTATTGAAACTTCATCACCACTATGCTTCCCTAGTTTGCTTATGAAAATCCCACATAGATACTGCTAAAAGTCTTACTATAGTAAAGTTGCTATTCCGCCACTTATGTACTGCTGCTCCAACATAAGGTATCAGATTGGTGTTATGCACCTTGTCTTTAGAGATCCATGTCGGGTGTTAACTCCTCTGCTTTTCTTCCGGATACAAACCTGATTTGCCTGAGGATTTGTTATCAAAGTTTTGAAGAATGTGAAAGTAATTTTGAGAAAGTGACTGGCATGTCTGCCATTTCTAGTCTTCATTATCCCTGTGAATTTTGTAACTGTTAACGCTTTTAAGAAAACATTTCAATAATACAGCTTAATATACATGCCAAAGGACCATCTTCTGAGATTTGAACAACCAGCCGCTGAAGTATCCCTCCTGTTTGCAATTGCAAATATTTGTAGCCTGTTTAATGTTCTTAACATGCATGTGCAAACTTGGATTTCACATTACACCCGAAATATGTAACATACTCATATTTACAGTGTTTCACTATGTACAACTTTTTATCTATAACGTTGCACAATAAGAGTTTCTTCCATGCCGGGTACCATTTTTTCAGATTCTGGTGTTTTGGTTCTACAACAGTTTTTAAAACAAAATATACAGAATTCTCATCTATAAAATACAGAGAGGTGCAGAAATAAAAAAAGAGAACTTGTGAAAGTAGATTTAAATTAGGCTATTGAAACTTACTACTTTTTAGGCAAGAAAGTGAATGCTGGAAAGACAACAATACTGTCACAAATACGTGCAAGGCTTCTTCGATAACTGTTTAGTCATAGAAACAAAGGGAAATTAATCGGATTTCACTCTCCTGTGATATCCAAGGAAGGAGTACCCGATGGTGGCTGTCCAGGGTACGCGGTGCTTGGTCTGTGCAGGAGCTCGAGCACGGGGCTTTCTGATGAAAAGGAGATCGGGAGGGCATCTCGCGGACACTTCCCGGCCTGACCCGGCGCCCGGTCCGGACCTCCGCTGCACCCTGGCCCGCTACGTGTGCCAGGTCGCTGCATTCGCCCTCGAGCGAGCTACGCGGACGTAAGACGCGATGCTCTTTGTCTCCGGCTCTCGCGGAGAGGCCGAGCGGGCGGCGCAGCTCCGGGCCCGCCGCCGTTCCCGCTCCGGGGCGGTGTCGGTTCCCAT